TAGGATTGAAGAGTGGCAAGTGAAGATTCCCGCTTGGCGACTGACAAGTAAAGAGTGAGGAGTGAAGAGTGGAGAGTGGAGGTTGACGAGTGACTGTTGGAGGGTGAGAAGTGAAGAATGTAAAGTGTCGATTTCCGAGCAAAAGAGTGAGGATTAGCGAGTAAGAAGTTGAAAGTGGCAAGTGACGAGGGAGCAGTGCTGAATATGTCGAATGACACGTTCTGGTGGGAGCCACCAGTCTCCTCGACGAGACTGTTCGCATTCCATTTCGTCCGGGGCAACAGTTGTGGCAGTGACTGCAGATGCAATGTCGAACAATGAACGATCTGGTGTCAAGACGCGTCGAAAGTGGTGATGAGAGACATTTTGCAAGGCAGGCAGACTAAGAGACTACTCACAGTGGGCATGAGTAGTGTGTTGGAGGTTAATAGAAAATGCAAGCTGGCGACGTCGAGAATGCGAGTAAAAAAGTGTCAATTGTCAAAAGTGACGAATGCATAACATTGCCGGTCAGACGACAAGACTCGAGGTCGAGGGCGAGGTCGAGGTGAGGCTGAGCGAGTGAAGCTGGTCAACATTATCTCGCTCGTGGGCAGTGATGTCGACCGAGTCTGGATGGTACTGGAGACGAACCCACATTGAAGGTGGCCTTCGTTGGCAGGAGAAACTTGTCTGTCGTCCACACAGCATCGCCATCTCCATTTTGCCCACAGCTCTGTTCACAATCTCAGGAGAGGTGAAAATGGACAAACGAGAAGCGCTACGAGGCGGACATATTTTAATGCAGATCGACATAAATTGCAGTTACTCATGAGTAGTCAGTCTGTATATAGCCTGATTTGGACGCAAAATGCTTGGAAAAAAAAGATAAAACTGTCATATGAAGAAACCATCAAGTTTTGGTCTACTCTTGCTTGGAGGAGAATAACTTTTAAAAAGCGCGGTCAAGTGGAAAAAGGAAGTCTTTTCATTTGGTTGGGGGGGAGAATACAACTAACCGTCCTTCATCGCATTCAACGAAATAGAGTAAACACGCTTCTTAGTCCCGATCTGATGGAAATCTCAAAAGCCGGCGTAAAATGTAAAGTAGACAATGTGGTCAATTGTGATAGCAAATAGAACGTCGTTTCGCCGATAAGCCCAACAGATAAATGTGAAATTGTAAAGACCTACTGATCGGATCGTGGGAAAATGTAAGTATCAGTTGTTAAGTGCTAGAAGCAAGAATGCTTATACACGATCATTGTCGATTGTTTAACTTTATTTCCAAAGACTCACTCATCCAACG